GTGTCTTACAGTAGTCCTTAAACTTAGATATGCTTGGGGAGGAATGGCCCTTGTGAATCTGTCCATTTTTCAGGGACTACCTGAAGTTACTGAGTTGTTTAACTTCCCTTTAAAACCTCCTGTTGCTTGTCTCTCTTTAGAACATCCTGTTGTTTTCTTCAGGGGAAATTGCTATACAACAATCTCTCCTGTCCAAATGCTAAAGTTTCCCATTCTTAACCCCCTACAATACAAAACGCCTTCAGGATAGATACTTTCTGTTTAAGTGGATGGAGATAGTTACATAAACTGTCTCCACAGGCATGCATACTGAATATTGTTTTGAGACTTACGTATTTTCATTTAATGTGTTTGAGTGTTTTGCCTGCGTGTATGGAAGTGCACCCATGTTGTGCAGTGCCTGCAGAGCCCAGAAGACGGCGTCAGATCTCCTGGAACTGGCGTTACAGATGATTATTAGCTACTGTGTGGGTGCTGGGAACCGAACCTCTGCAAGAGCGGCCAGTGTTCTTAACCACTGAACCACCTCTCCAGCCCCTGAAAATTAACTTTACCTTAAGCTTCTTTCTATAGTTCAGTGTTCAGATGAGATACTCAAGCATGAAATTATTGGGTTAAAGACAGACATATTTATATATGGCTCTTGATAGGGTCACCTGATGTTTAATTAGTGATTTGACATGAAGCTTTTCAAGGAGTTTTGAACTTGTTTCCAACATTCTTTTCTCTTTTACAGGGGCTAAAAGAAGTGACACTTCTTGGTCAGAATGTTAACAGTTTTCGAGACAGTTCAGAGGTGCAGTTCAACAATGCAGTGTCTACCAACCTCAGCCGTGGTTTCACTACCAACTATAAAACCAAACAAGGGGGACTTCGTTTTTCTCACCTTCTGGACCAGGTTTCAAGAGTAGATCCTGAAATGAGGATTCGGTTCACCTCTCCGCATCCCAAGGATTTTCCTGATGAGGTGAGTGTTGACAGTTAACTGTTTGAAAACTTTATTAGTATTCTGAAGAATGCCATTGGGTAGACCTAGTAGTATGCAGCGTAGACTTTGAATTCTGCTCTGAGGATCCTGTGGTATATTGTTGTATCACCCTCTAGATCTACTGACCCTTTGGCAAGATTTAAGGTCCCCCAAAGTGAGGGTAGAGATAGAATAATTTTGAGTGGGAGATTGGGGGTACCTGTGGGACCTGCGTGAGATGTTTTATCAAGGTAGGCAGCTGCATGGTAGTGGTGGTGAAGATATGGGGAAGACAGCAAGGGAGGCAGTGTGCTGCAGTGGGGAATCACCCAGGGTGTAGTTTTAAACACATTTGAATTCAAATCCCAGCTCTTGCCCAGAGTGGTGATGCATGTTTATCATCCCAGCCTAGGGAGTTTGACATAGGTGCATTGTGAGTCCTAGGCCAGGCTTGGATACTTAGTGAGTGTTAGCCAGTCAGACCTACTAACAAGACCGTGTCTTAAGAAACATAAAACTCGGGCTGGAGAGATGGGTCAGTAGTTAAGAGCACTGGCTGCTCTTGCAGAAAACCTGAGTTCAGTTCCCAGCACCCACATGGAGACTAATAACTGACTGTAATTTCAGTTCCAGGGGATCTGATGTCCTCTTCTGTCCTGTGGGCACTGCACGACATGGGTGCACTTACATACACGCAGGCACAACACTCATACACATAAAATAAAAATAAATAAAAATATAAAAGAATAGAACCAAAAAAAAGGAAGAAAATCTAAATCCCAGATGTTGTACTGATTTTACTAGTAGATGTATAAAGGTATTTTTCAACTTGTCATTCTTATCTGTAAAAAGAGAGTAGTAATAACCTAGTGCTTTGAGTTGTTAAAAAAATGGACGCAGTGTGTCAAACTCAGCACCGTGCACTGAGTAGGTAGCTAACCACAATGTAAAACCTTTTTTGCTTTGCATCCATTTTTTTCTTCCTGGATTGGATTGTTTCTTACTGAGTTGTAAAAGTTCTTTATGGTTGTATAAAATTAATTAATTATTATCATTTTTGGTCTTTTTGAAACAGGGTCCTCCCTGTAGCCCCAAACTGGCCTGGAACTCACTAAGTAGACCAGGCTGGCCTTGAACTCACAGAGATCTGCCCTAGTGCTGGGACTATAGGTGTGCGCCACCACACCCGACCTAATTAATTAACTTTAAAGACAGGTTTCAGGTAATCTATGTTGGTCTATGTATATGAGGCTGGCCTTCCCCTCCTGTCCTCCCTAGTGCTTAAGATTACAGGTGTATGCTATCAAGCCCAGTTTTATATGGTGCTAGAGATTGAATCCAGAGCTTTGTGAATGCTAGGCAAGCACTCTATTAACTAAGCTGTATCCCCAGTTCCTAATTAACCTTTTATTGCCTGCATGTAAGTGAATGCACCCGTGTCGTGCAGTGCCGCGGAGGTCAGAAGAGGGCTTTGGATTCCCCTGGAACTGGAGTTAACGATAGTTTGTAGCCGCCATGTGGGTGCTTGGAATTGAACCTGGGTCCTCCGCAAGAGCAGTCAGTGCTCTTAACTGCTGCACCATCTCTCCAGCCCCCCAAATTTATTATTTTTATTTTATGTGTATGAGTATAATGCTTGCATGTAGGTAGGTGCACCCATGTTGTGTAATGCCTGCGGAGGTCAGGAGACCGTGTTGGATTCCCTGGAATTGGAGTTATGGACAGTTGTTAGTTGCCATGTGGGTACCGGGAATCAAACCTGGGTCCTTTGCAGGATCAGCCAGTGTGCTTAACTACTGAGCCATCTCTCCAGCCCCCCCCAGTTAACCTTTTAATTACTTGAAAATTAGTCTTGGTGGAGAAACAATGAGAATAGTAATCTTCAGGGTGTGGTGACACACACATTTAATTCCAGCACTTGGGGTGCAGAGGCAGGTGAATCTTTGTGAGTTTGAGACCAGCCTGGTCTACATAGTGAGTTCCAGACCAACCAGTGATATGTAGTGAGCCCCTATTTCATACAAAAACAAAAAATACAGGGAGTATTCTTTTCTACACAATTCTTTGGTGAGACTTGGGTGACCCATAATCTGTTCTGTTTAATCAGGTTCTGCAGCTGATTCATGAGAGACACAACATCTGTAAGCAGATCCACCTGCCAGCCCAGAGTGGAAGCAGCCGTGTATTGGAGGCCATGCGGAGAGGGTCAGACTTATTTGGGAGAGAGAACATCTATACCTTTCCATACTTCCTTAATCACCAGACATTGCCTTTAGCTAATTAAGGAATGTCTGTTATATTGTTATATGAGTGAATCTGTGGACATTTGGATTTGCTTCTATGTGCTCCAAAAGCAGAGTAGGGATTGGGTCACTCATTTGTTCAACATTTAAAAATTACATATATGTGGTTTATATATATATCATATGTATATGGTATGTGTCTATGTCTGTGTCTGTGCACGTGTAGTGGTCAGAGAATAACTTGTGGGAGTTGGTTCTTTCCTTCTATCATGTGGGTTCTGGGATCAAGCACAGGTAGTCAGACTTGGCAGTAAACACCTTTACCCACTGAGCCATCTCACCAGCCCCTAGTTTAACTTTTGTTTTTCTTTGGTTTTATGAGATAGGGTCTCACTATGTAGCCCCAGCTGGTCTGGAACTCACTATGTAGACGAGGCTGGCCTTGCTCTCACAGGGATCTGTCTGCCTCACCTCCCGAGTGCTGAGATTAAAGGTGTGCCTGGCCTCTTCACTGTGAGAACAGATTTGCAGAGATAAGACTAAGGGGGCAATGGAACCCGAGGCAAAGTTCATAGAACTAGTGCTTTGCTTTATTTTCCACAGTGGCAAAGAGTTTTAGAAATCCTCTTAAGTGTTTAACTTGTCTTGACTTGTTAAATAAAAGGCCATTAAAATAAAAATTCATAGCTCCAGATTAGATAGTTTGATTATCTTTTTTAAAAGAAATTTTTTTGTTTTTATTTTATGTTTATGAGTATATTGTCTTAATTTTTATAAATGTATATAAGAGCGTTGGACTTCCGTGGAGTTACAGACAGTAGTTGTTAACTGCCATGTGGGTGCTGGGAATTGAACCCGGGTTCTCTGCAAGAGCAGACAGTGCTCTTAACCACTGAACCACTCTCCATATCCTTATTACTATTATTTTTTAATATTTCATTTGTTGTTTTTATTTTGTGTGTATGAGTGTACTGCCTACATGTATGTGAGTGCACCCGTGTCGTGCAGTGCCGCGGAGGTCAGGAGAGAGCTTTGGATTCCGGCACAGCAACAGAAAAATTATACAATACACACCAAGCAGGGGCTGGTTTCTAAGTGGCAAGAGGGCATGGCTGCCCACCATCTGCAGCCGACTCTGAGAGGGGCCCTTGGGCTCTGTGCACAGACTGCTCACCTGATCCTGCAGGTAAAGGGAGGCTTCACAGACTGAATTCTCCATGGCAGCCTTGCCTCGCTCCTGGCCCTCTCTCAGCTCAGCCAGCTCCTTCTCAATGTCAGACACAGTGACTCTATGATGCAGAAAAGACCACCTGGCTCCATTGCAGCCCAGAGCCCTGAGCCCAGTGTGCAGAGGACTGGTTGTTGGGGACATAGCAGGAGAACTCCAGGGAGCTTTATCTATAGTCTCAGATTGTCCTTCTGTTTTAGAGGGGCCACCTGGTATGCTGGCCAGTGGTGGAGACACAGCTCAAGGAGGAACAGTGGAAGGACCATCTCTAAACTCCTTCCAGCCCTGTTGCCAAGCTGTTTAGGAATGTGGGGGAACTTCTACCCAACTTTAAACAAGACCAGGGCAACCTGAAGTGCTAGGTCAAGAGACAGCTGTCAGTGCAGGGCATGAAGGCTGCCTCCATTGCCTCGGCTGAGCAGGAAG